AATTGCTAATAGCTGTTTTACTTGCCAGAAGGTGAGAAATGAGCAGATTAAAGCTCTATAGACCAGGATACAGAATCAGCACATTTGGGCAAAGTAGCAATGATGATGATAATGTCAAAAACAGTAATAGTAGCTAATTCTTATTGAGCTCTTAGGATGTGTCTGGCATTTTTGAAATGTATTATGTTTGTTTATTCATTTAATTCTTACAACTATTCTATGGAGTAGGTCCTATTATTACCTTTATTTTAAAAAGGAAGAAACAGTTACAGAGTAGCTAAGTTAATCACCCAAGGTATGAATGGCAGATTTGAGATTTAGGACAATTGATTGGGAATTGAAATGATGGAAGTTCTTGATTATATCCAAGATTCAATGCACAGAGTGAGGAACATTGTGGGATATTTCCAGAGGCTGAATATAGACACAAACGCATCTCAATCACAAATGTATATTCAGGAAAGAAAACCAAAGCCAATAATAGTGAGGTGAACCGTTTCCAGATATGTCTTTTAAGATATGTTTATGGGCCCGGCCAGCATGACTCAGTGGTTGAGCATCAACCCATGCACCAAGAATTCACTGGTTCGATTCCCGGTCAGGGTACATGCCAGGTTGTGGGCCAAATCCTTAGTGTGGGACATGTAGGAGGTGGCAAGTTGATGTCCTCTCTTGTTGATGTTTCTATCTCTCTCTCCCTCTTCCTTCTTTACTTTAAAATCAACAAAGAAAAAAAATTATATGTTTATGATTAATTCAATCTGTTCCCCCCTTTTTTTTGCTACATGCAAAAAAAAAAAAAAAAGAAACTAGACCATCAACTTACACCATACACAAGAATTAACTCAAAATGGATAAGAGACTTAAATGTGACTTATGAATCCATAAAAATCCTAGAAGAAAATGTAGGCAACAAAATTTCAGACATCATAAGCAGCAGAATTTTCACCAATACATCACCTAAGGCAACAGAAACAGAGGAAAAAATGAACATCTGGGGCTACATCAAACTCAAAAGTTTCTTCACAGCAAATGGAAAGGCAACCCACTGCATGGGAGAGCATAACTGCCAATGATACATCAGATAAGGGGTTAATTTCCAAAAATATAGAGTGCTCATACAGCTCAACAAAAGGAAGACAAAGAACCCAATTAAAAAATGGGCAGAGGAACTAAATAGACACCTCTCCAAAGAGGACATACAAATGGCCAAGAGACATATGAAGAAATGCTCAACATCACTAATCATCAGAGAGATGCAAATTAAAACAACAATGAGGTATCACCTCACACCTGTCAGAATGGCCGCCATCAACAAATCATCAAACAACAAGTGTTGGCGAGGGTGTGGAGAAAAGGGGACTCTTCCCTTAATACTCATTATACAGGGTGGGGCAAAAGTAGGTTTACAGACATAAGTATGCAAAACACAGAGTTTATTCTTGCATTATAATTTATTAATTATTGTATTATTTTCCTTATGAACAACTGTAAACCTACTTTTGCCCTGTCTTGTATATATGTTTTATAACTGAACTTGTTATATTTTAATTGCAACATTTTTTATAAGCATGCTTACCTGATTATTTAGCATGTGTCTTGGAGATGTGGAGGATAGGTCAGACAATAATATTTTACGAAACTAATTATCTGTAGAAGATTTGTGAAAGACAAATTACAGGAACTCACACAGAGAAGGATCTGTGTCTTACAGAATGGAGGAAATTCATCGAAGCTCTGACAGCAAGACCACAGAGCGAAACCAAGGCATCAAATCGTGGGAAAATTATCTGAGCCCTGGCCAGGTATGGCTCAGTTGGTTGGACCACGTCCTGTACACCAAAAGGTGATGGGTTCGATTCCCAGTCAGGGCACATACCCAGGTTGCCGGTTTGATTTTCAGTCGGGGAGAGTATGGGAGGTAACTGATTGATTTTTCTCTCTCACATTGGTGTCTCCCTGTCTCTCTTCCTTCCTCTCTTTAAAATTAATCAAAATCTTATTTGAGGTTAAGCTAATCACTTTCTAATTTTCTATTGCCTTAGTTTATTACTAGTAAAGCAGTTCTAACATATTTCTTCCCTCAAGAAGCTTATAATCTAGCTGGGAAAACTAGATTTATATAAACATGGATATGGTAATATTCAACCCAGGTAGACCACAGACTTTGCAAAGTCCATAACTGTATCATCTCAAGTAAAAGTCCAAATGAAGACGGCTTGACCAAGAGGACATTTGTGATCTCCTGGAGCAGAGTCCAGACAGAGTATGACTCTGCTGATTAATTTGCTGCTTTAAGTTAAACCAGGGCTTCAGAATCCACTTTTCTGTGATTTTGTTGACTTTCCCCTCTGATTGCGGGAGCTGCTGCAATTTCAGGAATCACAATGTAAATGTGCAGAGTCAAGAAAGAAAATATGTGTATTTTTGTTTTCTTTTTAGGCATGTCCGACCTTCCAAGAAGCCTCTCAACATACATACCTTCATCAATCATAGGCCAAAGTTGATTCATCTGCCCAGACTGAACCGGTAACCTGGCAAAGCAGAATAAAGTTTCCATGATTGGCTTAGACCAGCAGGTCTCAAACTATGGATCATGGGCATGTGAGGCTCTCTAAGATCCTTTCAGAGGGTTAGCAAAATCAAACTATTTCTGTAGCAATACTAAGATATTGATCTTTTAAACGGTGTAGATATTTGCACTTATAGTGCAAAGCATGGTGGGTAAAACTGCTGGCACCTCCGCCTGAATTAAGGGCAAGACCCCAAACTGTACTAGTGCCACCGTGTTCTCTCCTGCCCAAGCTCGCAGTGAAGAGAGATGCCAGCATCACGGAAACATGTCCTTGAGGAGACAGTAAACGTGACTAATTTTCTAAAATCTTGGTCCTTAAATACTTTTAAAAAATATTCCGTGTGACAAGATGGGAAAAACACATGAAATACCTCCGCTGCGTTCTGAAGTTCGATGGTTGTCTTGTGGCATAAACAGATGCGATCACTTGAGTAGGAACCTGAAATATTCACTTTTTTCTTCATAGAACGCCCCTTTTGCTTGAAAGAATAGCAATCCGTGGTTATTCAGACATATGCTTGGCAGAAATTTTTCCACAAATGGAGTGTCACTTCAAAACAACCACCACAACAAAACTGACAGTATTTGTTACCTGTGATAACAAGACAGTTTTCTTTTTCCTAAAATGATCTCTTTATTTTTTTAATTTCTTAAAAAGCATGTTCACAGCACACTCCAAGAATCATACAGCAATGGTTTGCCGCTCTTAGTCAAACAGAATATGTCATAAAACAAAACAAAAAAGTTTTAAAAATTAAAATGGTTAATCGTTTTTAAAAATTAGGTCTCTGAACTTTCTGCAAATCCAATAACCACCGATTATTTAAATCTTTGTTTCATAGTAAACATTTCAGAAATGTAGTATCTATCCCCAATCACACTTCTCTAAAAACTATACAACAGAAACAAAAATAAATATTTTTTTAGAAAGAACATATTTGGCATTTTAAAGTAATGTTAAAGGAGAAACTTTCAAGTGTAAATGGTATTTAGATTTTTACTTCCTATTAGCAGATTGTCTCTAGTGGTTCTGATCTGAAATCAGTAATAGGAGGAATGATTACATTGTAGTTAATGAACTTCAATCCTAACAAAGCCAATATACTTTTCTAGTACAGTGCTTGTTTTATTTAAGTGGCATCCAGCAGGTACAAAAAACTATTAAAAGTAGGGTCAGATCGTTCAAATTATTTGGTTAATTTGGTACTCAACTTGTTTCAAAGTTAGTGTTCATCACCTGACTTGCTATATTTCCTTCAAAATGAATAAATATATAGTTTGAGTGAAATGTAAACTTTGTATCATTGACTTCATTAAAAATGTTAAACAGGGTTAAAGGTTATATTCTGCCCTTCCAGATAACTTACATTTTCATTACAAACGTAGAGCCCCTGCACCACGAGCTACATTCTATCCATTTCACCTAAATATGCTGAAAGCTAATTTTAAAAAATGTGGACGGTTTAGTTCTTACGTATTTATCTCTTTTAGAAACCTACAATGCCTTTTCTTGGATATGAACATGGAAAAGAAGAACTCAGCTTATATTCATGAGGTACCAATAAAAAGTATTTTGCTTATGTCTATTTCCATCAGCCTTTCTGAAACCAGATTTCCATTTATAACACCAATTAAAAGAAGATATTTTCCTTTAGAATCATGGTCACGATTTGGAAAAAGAACGGAGAAGGGATCATTTCAGGCCAATAAAATATTTAAGGAAAGAGGAAACACGAAACAGGGAGGTGATCACAGCAAGTCCTTTCCTCCCAAGTCTGGAAATGTTACCTAAGTTTTAAAAAATGATCCTCAAAACATTTTATACCACGGATCCTGTAAAATCGGGTCGATTTCAACTAGATAACCTGTCGCTGTTAAAGAATTACATTATCCTGCCCTGGCCGGTTTGGCTCAGCGGTTAGAGCGTCGGCCTGTGGTCCGGAGAAACCCAGGTTCGGTTCCCGCTGAGGGCATGTACCTCGGTTGCAGTTTGTCCCCGGCCCTGGTTGGTCGTGTGGGTGGCAGCCACTCGATGTGTCCCTTTCACATCGATGTTTCCCTCTCTCTCTCTTCCTCTCTCTCCCTCCCACTCTATCTGTACAAAAAAAAAAAAAATGGAAAAAAAATGTCCTCGGGTGAAGAAAAAAAAAAAAAAAAAAAAAAAAAAAAAAATTATTACATTATCCTGTTCATAAGATGAGAGGTAGTGACATTTTATTCTCTCAATGCCGAGCGAAAAATTCCACACATCGGGCACAGGAGTTACAGGGGGGAAAGCACAGAAACACCTTTGTACACTCCTCGTGTTGGTGTTTCAAGTCACCCATAACTTCATTTGGCATTGGCAACTGGCAATCCCCGCTGTGTTAACAATGAGAGCAGTAGGTATTGGTGCTACTCATCACATGGGCTGGAGGACCTTCATAAAAATATGGAACGCTCCACGAATTTGTGTGTTGTCCTCGTGCAGGGGCCATGCTAACCTTCTCTGCATCGTTCCAATTTCAGTGTATGTGCTGCCAAAGTGAGCACGAGGACTAGAGTTTTGATAAAGCTTGCATCTGCCACCATTAGCTTAACAGTTTTCCAACATTAAAGACATTTCTAATGAATTCAGTGGTGATGCTAACAAATCTGTTTTTGAAAAAAAAAAAAAAATTCTATAGTGAAATAAGTCAGCATTTGGCAGATCTGCATAATTGAGTGGACCAGTGTTTTCCAGATGAGTAAGGCACGCTCTCGTAAAATTATACGTGGAAAAATGATCCACTCAAGGAACAAGATGAATCCATGGCTTTTAGTGCAATAGAACAGGAAAAGGTCACTCACTTGGTTCATGACTCCACATTGCAATTAAACTTGAAGAAAGAATCACTTGCAAGTTTTAGCATATCAAAGAAGAATATGCACAATTATCTGAAAAGGAAATACTCCTCTTTTCAAACAATTATATACCTGTGTAATTAAAAGCTAAATTTTCTCCATGTACTTCAACCAAAACAAATATGACAACAGATTGGATGTGTAAGCAGAGACAGAAATCTAGCTGTCGTCTGTGAAGCCGTACATTAAAGAGACTCACAGATGTGTAAGCCAGTGCGCCTTGTCTTAGCCAATTGTTTTGGAACAGGTAGTTACTTTTCATTAAAAACATGTTATTTATGTTCGTGGGTACTGGTTTATTATTGCTCTCTTAGAACAAATTTACAAACAAGTGTTTTAAAATTTCTCAAGTTTAAATTCTAATATGGTAAATATCAGTAGATATAATTCGCATAAACAAAACTCCTTGAGGTCCTCAATTATTCTGCAGACTGTAAACAGATCCCGAAACCAAAACATTTGGGAAATGTTGGTTTAAAGAAACACAGTTTATCCTGGGTTTGGAGAGACTCCGTCCACCTGGAAGCACATGGTTACCTGAGTCCTGAGCCAGTTAGAAATCCTATTGAAAAGGAATGAACAGTGGTCACCAGTGTTTGTCACAGGGCTTATCATGTGAGAAATGGAAAGAGGGAGTATTAATCACTCTTGCAAGGAGAGAAGACCATAGCTCAAGGCAGGCGGCAAGGCCCAGAGATGGTTCCTCTTCCTCCCACTCTTCAAGCCTCTTTCATGTTTGAAAAGAGAGAGTCAAACAATGTATTAGGCAGGGAGGGGAAGTAGCAGTGGGGGGGACAGGATACAAAGTACAGAAAAAGTGAGTGCGAAACACCACCAAAATAATTGTCTTACCTTAATTTTTTAACATCGAATAATCTCTCATTCTTTTCTGGATTCATAGGTACACGCACACATACAGACACATAATCTTGAAATATGTACATATATTTTTCTAAAGGTTGCTCTCCAGGGGTCAGGTATCCTAGAGGCCACACACGCTCTGCATAAATGTTTGTGGAACAGCTTTGAGGAAAAGCACTGTTTTGTTTTAATTTTAAAAAAATTGGGGGCGGTGGGGGAGGTCTGCTGAAGAGGGGAAGGCAGGACGTGTAAGGTGAAATTGCATTCTGTATTACTAAGCCAGATAAAGACAAAGATAAAACTATTAGAATTATTTCTAAAAGACATGAATCTCCTGACTTGGCAACCACAGATCGTATCGTGGAGCTGAAGGTACAGGGTGCAGCTGAAGCAAAGCCGAGTCTCCACATTAACACTAATAAATAAGCAAAATGATGACTAAAGCTACACGAAGCCACCGCAGATTCTTGAGGCTCTTTCCTGATACTGTCCCCTCTGAATCTTTGTCATTTGCTTTCCCTCCTACACCCTCCACACTTACATAAGTGGTTTGACCTCTCTGTATCCTGACCTAGACCACAAGCTAGTAGCACTACTTGTTAATAGTACGCATCCTTTAACTTTGTTTTCTCTTTTTTAATCATCATCTGATTATTCCATTGCTTTCTAGACAGAGTAGAAGGGAGAGAGGGAGAGACAAAGAGACATATCGATGTGAGAGAGACACACCGATTGGTTGCCTCTCACACGATCCCCTACCAGGGCCAGGGATCAAACCTGCAACCTAGGTACATGCCCTTGACCAGGAATCGAACCCACGACCCCTCATTCCACAGGCTGACGCTCCAACGGTTGAACGAAACCGGCCAGGGCTGCATCCTTTGACTTTGTATTCCTAAGTTTAAGCACGTGTTACTGGGGACCTAAACATACTTCTAAGGACAGTTGCTGTGATGAGAGCTATTTTACACCCCTGCAGGAGTAGCTCTCGGACACAGCCTAGCATACATGGAGTACAGCTCGCGGTCCAGAGGAGAAAGAAGGCCTGGTTTGGAGGTGACTTACCGAGCTATCACTCTGGGCTCTGTGACCATCTTTAACCATCTTATTTTTGCCCCTTTTCTCCCCGACTCCTTGAGATTCTGTATGTCCTCTCCTGTGCCCCTGACATCCTTCCATCCAAACTGACCTCTTCAGCTTCTCTGGGCCCCTGACTGCAAGTCCAGTGTCCAATCTTGCTCCTGATTGTTGCTCTCTTGCTACTGCCAATGATGTTATCTTGACCTAAAATGTTCTTTTCTGGTTTCCTATCTGGCAAACACCTACTCATCCCTCAAGACCCAACTCCAGAGTTTCATATTCTGAGACGTTTGCCCTGGTACCCCGAGGAAGATCTAATTATTTTCTCTCCTCACCATACCTTTTTATTGTGTCTGTGGTAGGCCTTCTTATAAGGGATCAGGTTTTGCTGTTTCCAGATGTTCCCCAGATCATGAGGGGAGTTCCCGGGGGGCAGAGGCTTTGCCTTATTAGTCAGTGGGGGTGCAGCGTCCCACAAATCCTCAGGATTCAGCGAAGGAATGAGAACAGGTCTCGGGTCGGAGTCCCTGAGCCACTGGTCTAATCAAGTCTCCACTTTCTGCACAGCTCAGCCCACGTGCTCCTTCTCCTTCCTTTGTCCTCCTCTTCGTGCCTCCAACCAGAAGCTTGAACCTGTCTCCTGGTGTTCGGGGAGCCCGCTTCCCACCCAGGGCCCAGCTGCTGAATAATCATTGCCAAAGAGAATACATAGGGATTGTCATTGCGCATAAGTTCTCACAGTGCACTGTTCTGTCCACGCTAAATAGTTGGTAGGCATGTGGATATACAAGATGGAAGGTGTTTTCAAACAATGAATCAATTGATCTATTAACTAGTGAGTATCAGCCATGGCCTAGCACTGATGATATGGGGCGGAGTGTGAGGGGAAAGAGAAAGATATAAATTCATTTTATTGATATGGAATTGCCAATATGTGATTCTATAAAAGCATCTCTTTATATAGCTGTAGTTACTCAGTGAACATATATTGAGCAGGCAGGGACTAGGGAAGGGTGAATGTACCGGAACAGGATTACGAAGGGAGGAAGATGTGTGCTTGGGTCATGAGGGGGACAGGACGCAGGGCTTGTCTTGGGTCCTGGAAGGAACTCAGGAATACAGGTGGTGAGGGTGTGTGCTCTCCAATACACCCAAGTGCTGGCAAACCAATAAACTATGTTTTTTTTTTTTTTAATGTCTTTATTGATTTTTTAGAAAGAGAGAGGAAGGAGAGAGAAACATCAATCAACTGTCTCCTGCACACCACTTACTGGGTATCGAGCCTGCAATTTGGGCATGTGCCCTGACAGGGAATTGAACTGGGACTACTCGGTCCATGGGACGACGCTTGATCCACTGAGCCACATCGGTGGGGCCAAATAAACTGTTTGACAGGACAAGAGCCTGGTGGAGAAGCAAGGCTGAGAAGCGAGTGGGGCCAGGTCATCGAGGGCAGTTAGGAATAAGCCTTGTGCTGTCATTTGCCTTGGGAACTGTCGGCTTTGGAACCGGCTGTCAATTTCCCCGAGCTGTGTTTTGTGGAGATTAGGCTGAAGATGTTCTAGGCTCGTGTGGAAAGCTCCTTTGCCCAGTAAGTTCTTTGTCTCACCCAGGGATACTGCAGATAGGTTGAATTTACTAATTTCCTCCAAAGGTATTTCCTGTAAGGATGGTCTGGCCTCACAATAAAGAAAGGTTGTGAATAAGCTCCTTGCTCTGCTTGCGATTTTGCTGGCCTCTTCTAAGGCAGGCCCAGCTGCACAGGGCCCAGTAAATGCATCCTTAGCACTCATCTTGTTGACACGTCTTGGTGCTGGGCTTCCCAAGTCAGAGATGTCTGGAGAATGCTTTATTTATTTATTTATTTATTTATTTATTTATTTATTTTTCTTTATTGATTTTAGAGAGAGAGGAAGGGAGAGGGAGAGAGAGATAGAAACATCACTGAGAGAGAACATCAGTTGGCCGCCTCCTGCATGTCCCCCACTGGGGATGGGCCCACAACCTGGGCATGTGCCCTGACTGGGAATCGAACCAGCTACCTCTTGGTGCCTGGGTTGATGCCCAACCACTGAGCCACACTGGCCGGGCTAGAGTGCTATTTCATCGTTAGAACTCCAACTCTGAGGCTTGCGGCAGCTCAGAACCATATCTCCGAAGTTCATTACGCCCAGTGTCTCCTGTACATATAAAAAAGCCTTTCACCTGAGTTAATTATTTTCTTTCGCCGGGGATCTAACGTTTAATGCATCGACCCAAGGGCACCGGGCTCCAGCAGTGGCCAGCAGTAGGGTATCTGAGACCACTGGGACAGCTCGTGGATCTGCAAACAAGCAAAGCAAACAACAGCACTGCCATGTCACCGCGGAGGGAGGCGCCGCACGGAACCTCTCCCACACACCCAGGCCGTGTTCTAAAGGGCAAGGTGCTCATGGCTCCGAATGTGCTTCCAATACCACCCGCATCGATGCCATTGTTACACGGGAAAGTCCCTTTGGGTTTCAAGTCCAGACTCAGCACCCATGCTCTCTCTTGTTCCCTGTTCTCTGGTGAAAGGAAAGGCGAAGTCAGATCTCCTCTCTGCACAGGGAGTCAGCCCAAGGAGTGGGGCTTGGCAGGCAATGGCTAGGGACAGTCAGGATTAGACTTGTGCTTCCTTCTATTTTTAAAAGTTCCCTGTTTGGGCAGTACAGTGAAACCCATGATCG